AATAACACCTCTGTACTTTTTCAAGATTAAAAAACAAATGCAATATCCTTCAACTTTAACAGCTTTTCTTCACGACCATATGCTGTCTGCTTCCGCCATGGCCAAAGCAACTCATGCAAAGCACTCACATCAGCAAAGCTGAACTGTTTGTATCAACAGCGGTGTGACAATCTGGAGGCCATGCGCCATATTGCAAGACCGCCATCACTGCATGCTGACTGCTGCCAAAGCTGCCATCTGGCAGGTGAGCTGCACGATTTCCACTTGTACCTCTCCTCCCTCTCACTTCTCTCCTCCACCGTTTGTCATCACCTCTCTCTAGCCCTCTCTGTCTTCTCCTGTCTTTATTAGTCTTTCACACTCCCGCTGTCAATCTATTTCCACCTCACACTATCCTCTCTGCCTGTGCATCGTCCCTATTCTCCATCTTCATCTACCTGTGCATCCACCTCCCTCCAGGCCTGGATCACACACTGAAACAAGCGGAAGCATGAAGAATGAAAGGGGGGTGAAAGAGAGGGAAGAGTAAGGACAGCAGCACGTCGGCAGTGCTTTATGATCTGCAGTATTTTGTTCTGTCTCTGCTCTGCAATGACACACGGTAGACAAACATACACACATGCAAACACTAACATATACCCCCAGTCGGGGCTCTTCTTCATCCTCGGGCTGTAGCAGCTGAACAATCGTGTTCAATCAGTGTCTCCGTGGGCAACCGGGGTAGCGGTGGGAGGAGGTGGGTGGGGGGGGGTCTCCAGCAATGGGTAGGAGCAGTGAACTGCTGTGCACTCACACACCATGTAATTGTGTTACATACACTAATTCGCCTGATGTACTATTGCAGTGAGTGTGCATTGCTTTTGCCCCGACCCACGTCGCGTCTTCCGATATTCAAATGCTTCCAAAATCAATGTCATGGATTGAACTGCTGGTCATTTAAATCAGTTTTTCACAGCTGTAGAAGTACAGTGTTTCTGACTTCGCCATTTCTTCTGTCTTCTTAAACATACGGTATAGCTCATTAATCTCTGTAGGAATCTGAGATGATGCTGAACTCCTGGCTTGTGGGGGAAAATGACAGAGATGGATGTTCTAAATTACCTTAGCTACACTAGTGTGGTGATGCCTCTATGGTCAAAAGACTCCAACATAATGCACAATCACCTAAAATTCCTCTACATTCAAAATTACCATTACAAAAATTGGTAAAATGTAACAGAAATTGGACATATCCTCTTTTTATCTGATGATTTTTAGATGCCTGTGTGTGAAACTTATGTTTTCTTTGTTACACTGGATCCACAGACCTCAGATCCCATAGAATTGATCTCTTTTAAAGTGGTTCCAAGGAAAATGGGTTACACTGAAGTCTGTGGATTATCCTGAGCAAACAGGACATAGCTACTGGAAAAACTGAGTTTTTCAAATGTCATTAAAACAAAAATTCATTCAGACATATTCCATTGTATTAGTGTGGCGACACAAAGCTCAGAGACAGATATCATAAAGCCTCAGCGAGTAAGACCAAAAGTATCTACATGGCTAGAAGCCACAAGCTGTCAGGGGGGGAAATATGCTAAAACTGACTCTTTAGAATTGGTCTCCTTAGGAGTTTGAATTGCTTAACCTTCATATATATAACTAAGACAACAGATGAACAGAAATAATCACAGCCCAAAACCCAGTCTCATTTATTGCTGTCAAATGCAGAAAAAGAAAGAGAGACAACTAATTCGAAGATTCGTTTAAATTCTAAAATTAGCAGACAACTGATAAAGTGGCAGAGTGTATGACTGGCATGAACACACCAAAAGAGAAACCAGCCTCTCTCTCTCCCTCCCTCCCTCCCTCCCTCCCTCCCTTCCTTCTCATATGAGAGGCTTTACCCACTCTGGAGGGGCCAGGAGAATAAAAGCTAGTCCAACTGGCCAGCCAGATAAGCCGGACCAGGAAGAGCACAGAGAGAGAGAAGTGGGGTTCATCTGGTTTACATAAGGGGTGACAGTCAAATAGCCAGCCCTCCACTACCCCTCACCACCCCCTCTCTAGTACCACACAAACAGATGGAGGCTCCAACAAAGACGCACTTGGTCAATAGCATTGTTGCGGCTGGCACTGCTACAACTGTGCGCGCTTTAGTTCTTTCAGGCTCAAGCTCTATCTCGGCTGCTGCCCAGCCTTATCAGCATCCCAGTGGCTTCTGCTCTGCCCGGGCGTCCAAGGCTGCAGGAGGCAGGGCAGCAGTGGAGGACTGACTATCTCCAGGTTAAATACTTCACTCAGGTGTTCTCCCGATAACCAGTGATCTGATGACTGCCCAGAATATTTCACATGTGTAAAGGCTTCTGGAAAATCTGCAGAAGCATGTTGCTAAAGCAGTCTTTGTCTAAAGTAGGGACAAATTTATCCCACTGATAATGAAATGATTTGCACCACAGTGCTGTTCTTCCTGCTGTCTGTGTGTCTGATTGGTACTGAGGCATTTACAGTCTCAGTTTTCACAGCATCAGCCCACATCTGCTGGTTGTTACAGGTGGTCATAGACATAGTTTAACCGTTTACTCATACAACATTTTGTATAATACCTGGATTCAGACTGCATGGTGTCCCTGAATGTCTTTCACTGCGTCCGATACGCGTAAAGTCTAACTTTACCCTTCTGAACATTGCTGGACAACTACAGGCTGCTGCTCATCTACAACAGTAAAGGATGGATCACTCACCTTGAAATAAGAAGAGGCTCATTCATGGGTAGCGCGGGTTATTTCGCTGGGATTTGGGAGGAACGTCCCGCGTCTCGGTCAGTCAGTCAATCAGTCAGTAAATGTGTGTTGACGCCAGACACTGCGAGATAAATCGCCTGTTAATTTATTCTACGCGCTGCCGTGACGCACAGCCTGTAAAGTCATCCAGACAACAGTGAGCATCTCCCCGTCAGCCGCTGAGAGTGAGACAGAACCAAGTGACCCTTCCGCCTCTGTCGGGGATTGATCAGTTTCTGTAACAGGCTGCCACATAACCAATCTCTCTCTTTCGTTCTCTCTCTCTCTGCCGGTGTTACATGAAATCACCCATCAGTTCACTTGCACCTCACGTACGGTGTGCGCTTTTAGACCCAACCTCCGTCGCGTCATTCTTTGGCACAACTTGAGCGCATTGCAATACGAGTCAGTGTGTTGAAGCCGTAAGGCGGACTCTTTAAAGTGATTGCAGATTCCTACATTCACCCATGTGAATATTAAAATTATGCGAAATAATGAATCCATTTAATGCATTGAATATGGACTAAAAACAGTTATCAGCAGCACACAGGTTGGAGAAAACGTCAGTGTCTAAAATAGACTTATTTGTCAAATTGGTTGCTATCACCAGGGATCTGACAGATGCCTGCGTGCATGTACAAACGGGATGCATTTTTGTTCTGCTGTGTATTTTGAAACGTGTGAAACCACGTCTTAAGTAAATATAAACTGTGGTCTGGAAGAAAGTGAAAGGTAATTACTGTATATTATAGCTGGCCTAGTCAGTCAGCCAGCCTGGTGCATTGGACATCATTAACTAAGTAATTTAACCATTCACACATTTTATAGTGAATTCAGATGTGTTTTATTATCGTTCAGAAGTCCATGCACTGCACAACGCACTAGTTTCCTTTGAAATACTGCCATCTGTAGGCGGAACAATGTAACCACGTATCTTTGTCTCACAAAGCTGTGATCCAGAGCCGTTTGACATAAGAAGCCTCATTATTTGGCTCATGTCTGTTTGATATGGTACATCAAGTAAATGTTCAAAATCATGCCTAAGTGAGGTAAAAAGGTTTGCTTTGTGATGCATAGATATCCCTGCCTTTGAAGGAAATCCATGCATACATGCAGCCAGCTGATGAAAATCACCACTACCACAGAACTGCTTACATGGCCCAAAAGCTCAGTCAGCATTTCTGACTGTTTTGTGTGTGTGTGTGTGTGTGTTGGGGGGGGTCCATCAACCAGCTGTCTGCCATTTGGTGGGCTGGAGATGAGTTGGACACGTCAGAGTTACCTGTCAGGGCCGAGCAGCTCTGGATGGCCCACGGACTCCCTCAGGGCTGACCAGATGGCAGCTCACCGGCCCCATGTAACATACTAGGTCCCAAGTCCCTGTTATACACACAAACACTACCGCACAATTCTGTAATGTAAAATACACAAACCTGCAGATGTACAAACAAACACGTAAACCTACATTTGAGGCAGTTTACGTGCGCGTTAACAGCACTGAAAATAGGTACAGTATGCAGAGACACATGGAGCTGGAGGGAAGCTGCAGTTTCAGTTGATGGAGGAAAGTAAAAATAGAAGAGCTCAGAATAATGACAGCTTTGTGCAGACACGTTGAATAGGCTTTTAGAGAGGTGTGAGGAGGGGTTGATACTTGTAACAATTCTTTTATACATCTGCGTATGTATTGAAATATATAATCTCTAAATTTTAGTCTGGTTAGCAGATTTGTTGCTAAACATTTTGTCCATTGTGCTGGATGAGTTACAATACATACTAAGCTGAGTATGATGATACATGTTCTTATAGATGATACACAGCAGTTGTGCTGTTTTTCAGTGTTGTATGTACACAGTAGATGGAGCTAATAATAGTAAATTTAGGCCACTACAGACTAAAATTGCACAATATCACTTTAATTAATTGCACTAAAGTCACAACTTTAATTCATTTTTACCTTAATGTCATGCCATGGTGCACCTAATGGGTTGAAGTGCCTTGTTCAAAGTGCCACTCTGAAATGAAGCCTGACCTAAATATAAACCTAACAGTAACCTAGCACACGGGAGAGATGCAAAGTCTTTGCAAGTCGTTGGCTTTGAGTGAAGTAAGTCAAAAGTACAAAGTGATGAAAAGACAGATCTATCGCTCCATCGTCATTAGTGGTCAGTGAAACAGCTCTAACATGCCTGTTGTGCCTGGTATTTTTGCTCTGGCATTGTTCTGACGTATTCATTAAGATTATTATGCTGTTGCTCCAGACTTCTCTCACAGACAGGACCCAAGTGGAGCAGCCTGTTAGATGCAATGTACTTCATAAAAATTACCATAACAACACAAAGCTTTGGAAGGAGGCAAAGGGAGGTGCATGCAAATGGAACGGCAATAAAAGAAGACCGCAGGGCCAATCAAGCTGTCATAATACACAAAATAATAACAACTGAAAGCCATTAAAACCTTTCACTCTGAACCGTTACACCTCGCCGTGCAAAGAATAGGATCGAGAGGCCCTCATAACCCTTATTTTGCTTAAACAGTCACATACACACTCCAGGCTTTATCCGACTTGCATCCATCATCTCCAGATTATAATGAGACATTCATCAAAAGGAGTCATGTGCTGGAAAACAATTATCCATCCCCTTTTTACTTGTTCTCACATAGACGTCTCCCAGAATTTCTTTTCTCTGTTGTGCCGTCCATATAAACATTTTCAGACGTGTTTTCCATCTGAAAGAAAAGTAAAACCAGGTGCATTTTTCAGGTTCGGTTGATGGTTCGCAGTTAATGTGTTTGTGCAGCTGTTTCAAAACCCCAGCGCGAGTGGGGAAATCTGGACATGCTAAATGAAAAGGTAATGCTTTTACCTTCCTATAACACTGACTGTGGTGTCTTTGATTATGGGTTTTAATTTCACCCAATATTCAGGTTGTATTTTCTTATTCTCAGCAAATTCCACAAAACACCAAGCATTTAAAAGCTTTGTTGTCTTGCTCAAAGGTCTCCGAAGCCTGATATACAGTATCATATTCCTCTGTTTTGTTGCCCCAAACCTGAGGCCACAGCATTACACTTGATGACATTTCTTCATTAGCATAAGTAGTTTGAGTCGATCACACAACGGGCCTGGCGCTGTAATTATTCCCTAGAGCTCCAAATGTGTATTAATCCCCAACAAAAGCACTGCTTACTCCTCTCTGAGTAATGTTTGCTAGAAACTACACTGCCCAGCTGTTTTAGAAAGTGATTTGTGCTTTTTAAAAAGAATCTGTTTATTAAGATTTCCGCCTTCAGAGGAAACAAATGGGGCCAGACGTCAGAAAGCATGAAACGATAGACAGACACATTGTCGATTCTGATCTTTTCATGGAATTTGTTGACAGTAACAAACATATAAAATTTCACCACTGTTACCGCATGGATAGATAAAGGCTTAAAGGGCATCTGGGAGAAGTATCTTTCTCTGGTCAGCTTGGAAGCAAAACAACACAACAGATAAAGCTGGTTGTTTTTTGAACTTCTGACTCCAGAGACAATTTGAAAATGTGCTAGATAACCTGCGATCACAGGCAGTGTGTTTGAGAAGTAAATCAGAAAATAGCCCATGAAATTACATCCTGTTCAAAACATTGTATTTTAATTATAGCATCATGCACTATTGGTAGAATAATAAGAGTAAGACCAGAACTACCTTCAGCAGTACCAGTTAACACTATACTACTTCTCTACTGTGTGTTTTCAAAGCACTCTGAGACAGCAGAGACTGAAAGATGAAAAATATAGCCGTTATCTGAACTGCAGGTGTATCAGCCACAAAACCAGCTGTGTTATGCTTTGCAACTAGGGAAACGTAGTATCGACTAAACACAGACAAACTGCGACCAGGAACAGTCAAAATCCAGTGATCACCAGCAGCCTGAGAGGCTCTCAGATAGCTGCTAAAGACCCCAGAGGTGCAGCCCCAGACTCTCACGCTTTCATGTTACACCTCTATGACAGTGTCACACACACACAAATTCTACTGTGAGCTTCATGAAGATATTTATAGCTTCGTAGTGTAAACAGAACAAAGTCTGTACTGTGAGCAAAATACTGTACATTAAGATTCTAAGAACACGGATTCTCCAATCATAACATTATTTCTTGTCCTTTGTTAGTAATTTGTTGACGAATCCTGCGTGCCTGTATAGTGATAGGGCAGCTTTATTTGTAGCACCTGTAATGTGCAGGCTGTTATCTAAAGTGTCGGCTGCATTACTTTATTATTACATTATTCTGTAGTGTGTCCACATACTCTCCCTGTACCTTTCTGCAGGTAGCCCTGGCTCCAGAGCTTGACGTTTCTGATGAGCAGACACTGGCCGAGTTAATCTGCTCAATGTTTGTTGTGTTCTGATGCTTTTCTTTTCTCTCTCCTCTATCCACTCACCCCAACCGGTCAAGGCAGAAGACCACTAGAGCACGATTCAGGCCCCATGTTTCTGTTCAAACCTGACCCGTGCCCGAGAGTGTGGCATCTGAACCCGATCTGGACCGATAAGCTTATAGTATATAATGTCCGAACCCAACCTGAGCCTCATGCAGTTGAGTTTGTACAGTGTTTTTTCCCTTATCATTAAATGAAGGAGACATTTGAGTATTCCAGCCATCTAACCTAAAGTTTTATGTGTCCAAACCTGGCAAGAACCCTCAGGTACCAACAGGCCCCATTGGACTCGGTTCAGGTAGTCACACACTAACAGCCGCCTACCAAGAGCCGGGTCTATCATAGGGTTTTCCCCCTCTGCTGTCACCAAGCACTTGCTCAAGGCGAGTTTGTTGGGATTTCTCTATGTAAAATGCCTTCAGATGATTTTTGTTGTGAATTGGCACTATACAGATAACAATGGATTGAATCATTCTCTCAAATGATGAGACAGCCAATAAATAGAAATAAAAAACTATCACTATCAAAGTATGAATATTGGTTTTTGAAGGGTTTATAATTTAATCTGATCTAAACTGATATTGCTGTTTGATATGTGAAGCGCTTCACTGTCTGTGTGCATTTGATTTGTTGAAAAACCTACCAAGGGCTTTAGAAGAGCAAATGAGCCGGCTTTTGTGCAGTGAATAAGAACTGAGTCTTTGTGTTTTGAAGGTGAAACCAAGTAGCAAGCTTTTAAGAGCCTTTGCAAGAAAGGCTGTATCTAGCTTTCATCTCAACAGATCTTGCTAGACTAGAAGTTGGGTGAGAGATTTACACCATTTTATGAACACTGAGAGTAAACTGACCCTTTCCTTGGTCACAGTAGAGGGTAAATGAAGTTCTCAGATACG